AGCGAGGTCTGCCCATTCCGTGCTGGTCCCCACGGCTGAAACCCATATCCCGTGCCGTTTGACTATTTTTCGAGTCGTCGACCTGTTTTCATGCCAAACTCAATATTAGCCCTGTTTAAATATTTTTCCAAGTTTTTCCTTAAAACAGAGAGTTTCAAATTCCATAACTTTTTACAAACTCCTTAATCAATGACCTTCGATTAAGTGAGGTACTCCAATTAATTTCAAAGTTATCAATATAATTTATTTATGAAAATTATCTTGATTTAATGTAGGTTCCTGAGGAGTCGAGCCTCAAAACCTACCCAGATGTTTTGTGATATTTCATGTCTAGTCGAACATGTGGGTGTTGATGAGGGGATCTTCCGGTTTTGAGAATTCCGACGGCTCTTCTATTTTTGCCTAATAGAGTGTTCTCCTGCCTATGGGTATGCCGGTGGGTTGACACTCGTTGTTGGAGATTTTCGACGGTTTAGCTCTCGTTGTTGAGAATTTCGATGATAAAGGTGTTTCCACGTGAGATTAGGGCAACATAGGAGGTAGATAGTGATTTGCGTTCATGCTGCGACTATGATTGCAGTTATTATGTTGGATATATTACATGGTAATTCTCACAGTGAGCTTGTTGTTTGCTCACCCCCCACTATTTCTATCTTTCAGGTTGAGTTCTTGGTTGTGACAAAGGACGGACGAGTGTGGTCATTTTAATATTATGAACTGCTTATGCTATTGGTTTTTCAAAACTTGTTTTGGATGGTTTTGAACATGGGATTGATTTGACGATTATTACGAGATTATTATGATTGATGTAGTTTATATCTCGTCTGTGGATTATGTGGTGTGAAATTTGGGCACTGAGTTCCAAAATAGCTTAACATGTGGCTTAAGCCGACTAAAAAGGAATGAGTGATTTGAGTAATGCCTTTTAAATTGTTTTAAATCGAAAAAAAAAATCCTTATAAATCGCTCAATTATTTTGAATACTTGGTTTTTTCCTTATAAAAATAACGGGGCGTTACAGTTGGATCCGCCATCGTCTTCGACGGGTATAAAATCACTTAATATAGCAGTTATACCACTGTTTTTCATTATTATGATGAGCGATTGTGAAATTATGGATGTTTTTATTTCTTGCGTTTTATTTTCAATTTAATCACTTGAGTCAGAGATGCAGTGGCTTCTTTTTCCGATCCATGCTATTGTTTTTTTAAGAGACAACGATGGACTATGGTGAAAGCGCGTCCCCCCTCTCCTCCTTCCCAACGGCGAGGTCAAGTTGTAGATGACGGAGGGAAGGCCCGAAGCTCGGGCTCGTGGAAATGTCAGCAATATATGTTGCGTGTATAGGCAATATATTTTCAGTATATGATTTCGTTGACCCGTGCTTCATGTGTTTCTCATCTGGCTCGTGCTTCATTTGTTTTTATTCAATTGATAGGCTTCTGATCCTTTGATTATGTAGAAGATATTAGCTTTTGTTAGGAATCGCCCTGTTGTAATCCATGGGGTTTTGAGTTTGCATTATAGGTGTTTAGTCGTTGTCTTTTACCTGATACATTTGGTTTTCATCGATAGTGTGTTGTATTATTTGTTTGCCACACACCTCTATTGTTATAAGTAGTTTATGATATGTATATAATCCACAATTTCATTATTTTTATGTTAAAATGTATACGTTTTCCATTACAATTACCATTTTTATGATTTTTCTATTCATGAAACCATTTTTATTCAATTGATTGACATTTTTTTTCAAGCTATTGACCTATGTGTTTATATCATATACTCTACATATACTAAAATAGTTTGTTAAAATAATGATTATGATCGGTCTATGATATGTATACAACAACTTTTATAATGAACAAAAATTCAATCATCACAATTGCAATTAGATAAAAATGCTATATAACGAATATATTGACTATAAATGCAGTATATTGAACCCAAATTCAAATATTACAATTGTGGTTAGATAAAAATGTTATGTAAATAAAAAATGCATGAAGTTATATACTGAATATACATTGACTAAAACGCAATATATACTACCCATTCAAAACACTTGAGCTGAAAAACTTGACTGACGATAAACGCAACATATAATTTGTTATAGCTACATTTTTATGGAACGCATTATATGGTTCGTGGAAAGATATGTGGCAAAAGCTTCATGTTCCCGTCACACCTATATATGTGGAAGATGATGTAGTTGTAAATCAAATTCCTTGTTTTTCTATTATATAGTGAAACAACATCCTATTTTATAGGATATATAACCTTGACATATATAATCATTTTTTTTTTTTTATCGAAAATTACCATAACTTATGCAATTTGGGAAGATATTTTATCTAGTAACTGAAAATCCCATAATATAGTGCATCTTTGCAATTAATTGGCATTAAATTTGTGAAATCTACATATATATAATTGCTAGCTCATCATTAAATAAAACCTCATAAATAAAACCTAATTAATAAAACCACATTTATTTTCCCTCCAAAAGAAGTTACAAAATTTGTCATTCATATTTGGTCTTTCACATTAATACACCCCCATTAAGTGTAATCATGTAAATAAATTAATAACATTAACTATTATATAATGTAATAGCATAAAAATAGCATTAACTACTACTATAATAGTAATAATAATAATAATAATAATAATAATAATAATAATAATAATAATAATAATAATAATAATAATAATAATAATAATAATAATAATATCTTGAAACAATAAAATTGTTTATCTTATGTAATTTATATTTAGTGAAATATTATGAGGTGGTAATAGCATTAACTATTATATAATATGATAGAAAAAAATACATGATTACACTTAATAAGGTGTATTAATGTGAAAGGCAAAATATAAATGACAAATTTTGTAACTTCTTTTGGAGGGAAAATAAATGAGGTTTTATTAATTAGGTTTTATAAATACATAATTACACTTAATTATGTTTTATAAATGATATTATTATTATTATTATTATTATTATTATTATTATTATTATTATTATTATTATTATTATTATTATTATTATTATTATTATTTTAATTTTGTATTTCATGAAACAATTTTCTTTAGAAACAATTAGTAAATAGTTTTAATAGTATAGTAAAAAAAAACTTTAAAAATCTTATAAACAATTGTCGTTGTAATAAGAATAGTAATAATAATAATTATTATTATTATTATAATAATAATAAAGTTTTCAAGTAAATTATTTGACCATGATCTCTCCAAATTATAAAAATTACATTACCCACATTTTTTTTAATCAATATAGTGATTCATATGTACTCAAATAATTTATATAAATATTATTTTATTTTTACTAATGATTAAATCTTGAAAATGTGGTATATCCATTATCTAGAATTTTAATATTAAATTCACATATCTTGAAAATGTGATATGTTTATTATTTAGAATTTTAACATTAAATTCACATATCTTGAAAATGTGATATGTTTATAATCTATAACTTTAATATTAAATTCACACATATTACTTATAATATTTTATGTACATCTGTGCATGGGCACAGTATGATAACTAGTGCAAATAAAGTTTGCCTACCATAATATGGTGCATGTTTGCAATTAATTAGCATATAGAATTTGTAAAAATGCATAGAATTTGTAAAAATGCAAATAATGAGGAAGGGAATTGACATGTTTCGGAACTCATAAATAGCACTCAGCAAGTTCAATCTGCATTCATAAATATATATCATGATGATAATATATACAACGAATGGTGGCAGCAAAGGTTGCATGAGGAATAGTAGCGAACAGCTCCAATCAACATCACGTTTTTAACACGGAAAATCAAATATTTTCAATCACATCAAAGCATCACCTGCTTGTACGTATGTTTTATATACACAAGGTAGAACCTACAAAGTAGGATGATACCCGATAGTGGCATTAGCTTCCACCCTCTGCACAACCCTTCTCACGTTCCACTCTTGGCAAAACTCGAGCGCAAGCCGAAGAGCGGTCCCAAGCCCCAGCACAACAATCACTCCTGCACAATATCAGATTCGAGGATAACTGGAGTGAATACATTTAATCAAGTGAGCCAATTTCTCTTTCTTTTCCATATTATTTGTTGTGGGGAGAAGCGAAATAAAATACAAGTAAAATGCGATATGAAAATTTTTGGTAGGAAAAAACATAAAACTTGATAATTCAGGGCATTTGTTGTATTTGACTCTTGTGATTGAATCTATTACCTAAGTCGCCATGTGAACACTGTGAAGTACTGATTGTATATATTACGAAAGTCATCATGTAAACACTTTTCAAGTACCGATAATGATGTTGACTGGGAGGGCTGAAACACCAAGGGTAATGGAAATCAGCACGTCCAGCAACAGGCCGCCTATGAGAATCGAAAAGGCCACCCACAGAGGACTAAAACAGCGCTGTACAAAGTAGAAGGTCAATAATAAATTTGGTAAACCTTAAAACACAAAATTAAGTGCTTGTGGGATTAGAAAAATGTGGATTTATTACCCTTTCTTGTTCTTGAACTCTTACGGCTGGATCAACCCTCCAAACCCAGTAACTTGTCTGATACACAATAAAGAATCAAGACAAACATTTGTTTATGACAAAGTCGAATTTGCATTAGAAGCAAAAGAGCTTAATCCGTCAGTGTTAGATAAAAGAGCAGGATTTCTGCATGGTTCGAGCCCCGAATATTTCTAGAAAAACAAAATGCAACACAATGTTCAATTTTGTAGGCATATAGTCACTACTCAGATAGCAAGTGCTATCCGCAGTCTAGAATGAAGATATAACCATCAAGGATAAGAGTTTGTAATCCGCTCCGGAAGTGAATTTTCAGTATGCACCATCAGCCATAGCTGAAATAGGTTATTCAAATAATCAAAGAAAAAATGTAGCCAATCATTCAGATCCCTCGGCCATACTTGTCAAATGCTAAAACAAACCAAATTAAATAGTAACAGGACTTGCCTGGGAATCAGGAGGTGCAACATTCGAAGCAATTTGTCTGCAACAGAGTAATGGAGTCTCAAAATGATACCTCATGGGTTAACATAAAATTGCTCAGCAAACATTTAGGCACTTAACTGGCATATCTCACATTTATTTGAACCTCGAGTGCCAAACCATTTGATTATACAAGACTGGTGTGCTTTTGCGAGACCGCCTCGACACTGACATCCAAGATTGATCAAGGCTTCTTCATTTTCCTCTTGGCATACTCTGCAAAAGGGAAGTATCACAATAATCCATTAAGAAGGTTTCATCAACTGTTACCAGAAGATGTTTTGACGAAAGGCCTGTTGATGTACAGCAAAAAATAGGGTAAAATACTTTTTTACATCCGAACTATCATGGTTTTGGCGCATCACCATATAAACTATTTTTTTTTTACAAACCACCATATGAACTATACGGGTTTGTCAATGTGCCCCCTAAACCAGATATAAAAGTGGTTTAGGGGGCACATTGACAAACCAATGAATGTTCATATGGTGGTTTGTAAAAGTATTTAGGGGCACTTTTATATCCGGTTTAGGGGGCACATTGAAAAACCCGTATAGTTCATATGGTGGTTTGTTAAAAAAAAAATAGTTTATATAGTGATGCGCCAAAACCGTGATAGTTCGGATGGGAAAAAGTATTTTACCCAAAAAATATTACTTTCAAATCAAACAACTTGTTGCAACTGCAATAAGTTAAGAATGATTATTTTCGAGAAAGTTGATAACGGAAAACAAAAAGGAAAACAATTATCAAAAATAAAAAATAAAATAAAAATAAAAATAGAAAAAAATTACGTATAAAGCCTTCTCAAAAACATGCTAATAAGAGAATGCCATAGTATACTAGAACATAATTCTATCCAGATGTGGTTATCAAGTCAGTCTAACGAATAAAACAAACTTTTCCTGAAGGAAAAAAAACAAAAAAAAAAAAAAAAAAAAAAAAAAAAAAAAAAAAAAAAAAAAAAAAAAAAAATTGAGTAAGCAATTCAACTGTAACACCAGTTACCTGATGAACTCAGGCCATTACAGTGGTAAGCAAATTGGTGTGGATAACTGATAACTTTTCAATGGAAGTTATAGAGAAAGGAGGAAATACAAACTGAAAGCTAGGTACTAGTATTCTCGAAGACTGCCTAAATCTTGACCAAAAAAACAAAAGAGAAAAACAAAACAAAACAAAGAGGCCATGCTTAAGCCAGGGAAAGTTCAGAACTTTCTTCTGTCAGGCAATCGAAATTCTAATGCAGTAGAGACCTCATTAATACAAGTCACTAAAAGCTTGTGGGAAAACAGATTTGCAGGTACAGATCCCAGCCTCGTGAATGATGTATAGCAACACATTTCTCTACTCACCTGCTACTAATTTCTGTAAAATCCATCATTGAACACCTTTACTTTTGGAACTATTCTTCAGTATTATTTCTTCCAGCTAGGTTTAAACTATTAGAACATAAGAGGTTTGCACATCCCCTTGAGATATAATAAATTTAAATCACGATCCCAAGCAATTTGGTAGCCAAATCAGAAAAAGCTACGTGGGATATGAAATGTTTAAGTGCATTGGAACAATCAAATGTGTTCAACCTCAAGCATTACACCAGGTACCGACACAAACATCATTTCTGTTTGCAGAATTGAAAGAGTTCAGTTAAGTAATTGCTACGAAACTCTTGCTCCACTAAAATAAAGGCATTATTGGATGATAATATGTTAGGTTAGAGGTCTTTCCATAGTCTGATGAAGAAAATTGTAATCCAGGGGAATATTTTGTTTCGAACCAACACCAGAGCTCCCATTTGTTTGCAGAGGGACAGAAAGAGCAACAAGATGAAGACGAATACCACTAGAATCTGATTGGCCAGAAGTAACATGTGACTTTTCTAAATAGAAGGCATTAATTAAGTCAACTAAAATGCAAAAGCGGTTCACCAACGTACCACATTGTGCATGCATTCATATTGATTTATACCCAGGAAAATGTATTTTTGTAGGCTAGTCTGCCTTCACTTTTGGTGGGCCTCCTTTGTATGGTGAAATTGTATCCTTATATGTTATAGCAGTTTGCGAAGTAGGTCATCAATAGCAATTTATTATGAAGACCAGAAGCGTCGGGTTATGTTTCAGCAAAGTAAGGGATGTTTACAACTTTTCTGTTCTCCAAATTTTAAAATTTGAAGTTTAGAAAAGACAAACTATCAATGTGATAAAACACACCATAAAAGCTAGGGTAAAATACTTTTTCCTATCCGAACTATCACGGTTTTGGCGCATCACCATATAAACTATTTTTTTTTTTACAAACCACCATATGAACTATACAGGTTTGTCAATATGCCCCCTAAACCGGATATAAAAGTGGTTTAGGGGGCAAATTGACAAACCCGTGATAGTTCATATAGTGGTTTGTAAAAGTATTTAAGGGGCACATATGGTGACCACAGCTTTTTCAGTCAAAACCAGTCAAAACCACTTTTATATCTGGTTTAGGGGGCACATTGACAAACTTGTATAGTTCATATGGTAGTTTGTAAAAATAAATAGTTTATATGGTGATGCGCCAAAACCGTGATAGTTCGGATGGGAAAAAGTATTTTACCCTACAAGCTAATATGATCTCTTAGTTCACTTTTATTTGCACTGAAAGATAACCGGATCCCTATTGCACAAGAGCTGAGTTTAGAAATGATTTGATTTTTGCAACCTTTCTAAGTTTATATTTCCCCTATACGTTACATCCTTTTAAACATCAGATGATATGTGTTGATATGTGTTGACTGAAGAAGATTTGAAAGATATAACTCTAAGTCTACTTCACCACTATGTTAGTACAACTAAAATTTCTCTTTACTAAATATATCAATAAATCTAAGCTACGTGAGTATAAGTTTGGACCATTATTTTTTATTGAGACCTTATGTGTTTTCCTTTTCTTCATTATGTGCTCCTTCTGTCTACATATAACTTCTGCACTTTCGTACTCTCAAAGCTAGAGGATTTCAAGAGATGTACTCACGGATTATTGTTCCTCGGACCAAGGACACCCTTACTGACAGAGACCTATTATTCCTTGACATTAGGTTGATGATGCCTCAATTTGATAAAATTAACAGGTGAATTAGAAGAACATTCTGGTTCCACCTGCAGTTGGATATAAGTTTGCCGTACATACAGCAGAAAGTAGATAGGGAAAAATAAAATTTCTATCCTTGTATAAGAGTGAGGAAAGCCAAAGCATAGTTGATCTGTCATATCGCTAACTGGTCGAGACAAAGTCACTGGGCAGAAAAATGTCAGTAAGTCCAGCCAGTAGAACCATTTTATAAGTTAACTGATACAAAATATAGACTTCATCTCAATGTAGAATTATTTACCAAGCAAGTGCACTCAAGCATTCTGCCCGTTTTCCTATATTAAGTCATTGTAAGCCTCTTCTTGACTAGGGTAAGAAATGATGTCCGAGCATGGAAAGCAGGAAGAACAAACACACATCAATTTAATTGACGACAAATGTAAAAGAAGACGAAGATACTGTTAGTTAATTCTTGGGGAAACGATTATAATTACTTACTAGACCATGAATATATGTATGTGAGCATACAAATGACACATATAATTGTATGAAAGTGAAACTGCAGCACTTCACTTTCAAAAAGTCTTGGTGGCATGGAGCCGTGGGAGTGCATGCATGGACGAGCTAAGGATGTTGGCATGGACGAGCTGCTGAATTTCCCTTTCATTTTTTGTGTTATTAGTTGCATTTCTTACTTATAGTATCGCAATCTTCATTTTGTTGTTTTATTTGTTACTTTATGTGACACGTGTCGGCTAGAGATCACTTAGTTATTTTCCAACGGTCATGTAAGTCGTTAGGGGTGAAGGTGTATAGATCTTCGTCTTCATTTGTATGCTCCTGGGATGTTTTAAGATGCAATAAAAATTCTCCCAGAAAATTCCCAAATCCTTTGAACAAAAATGGCGATGAACTCCTAGCTTTACAAGGTAAAGGTGAATCGAAGCTACTACCATGGCGCGAAGTGGTAATTGCAGAGAAGAACAAAGAAAAGAGGTCGCGATGAAAAACAACTACTTCAGAGATTCAGATCTACTCTCTCTCCATGGCTCGGATCATCCTGGCATGATATTGGTTACAAATCAGCTCACTAGAAATAATTATCTCCATTGGAGTCTAGCTATGAGGTTGGTGCTGGGAGCTAAATCGAAGCTCGGATTCATCTACGGGACCGTTGAAGTTCCAGAGCAGAACTCAGATGATTACGAACAATATCAGAAAGTTTTGAGTTTATGGTGATTTCATGGCTTTTAAACTCTATATCCAAGAATATTGTCGAGGCGTTCATTTTATCAAAAGCTCAAAACAACTATTGGACGAGAGATATGGGGAAAGCAATGGACCTTTGAGGTATCATTTGCAGAAGGAGATAGCAAAATTCACAAAGTACAAGGTTCACTGTCTGTTACAGCTTATTACACGAAGCCGAAATGCATATGGGATGAATATCTTTGTTTAGTATCCTTAGCTGAATGCATGTGTGGCTCTGGAAATGCCTTTTCTGAAAATGAAATGGAAATCAAATTGATGCAATATCTGATGGGATTGAATGAGGTTTTTGAACAGATTAAAAACCAGATACTCTTAATGGACCCCTTACCTACCTTTAACAGAGCTTATTCAAAGGCCCTAAAAGTGGAGAAACATAAATCAGTGAGTAATATAAGTTCTCTTTCCTTTGAATCTTCAGCAGTATTTGTAAAAGGTGATTATGGAAGAACAGGAGGTAGAGGTAACACTGGAGAGGTTCACATGGAAAGAATAATATTGGTGCAGGAAGAGGTAAGGGTGGCATGAGGTTGACCAAGGAAGAGAGCAAAACTGGTTTGTAATCACTGTGGGTTTAATGGACATAAAATGCCAGGTTATTTCAAATTGAATGGATACCCGAACTGATATAAGGAGCTGAGAGAGAAAAGACAGAATCAAACAGTAAATTTGGTGGAAACTGATGAGATGGGAAAGGGAGATGGTGATACTAAGTCAGGTGAATGAGCCGGAAAATAGCTCAATCATACAAAATAGATTGCTAAGCCATTCACCAACTTATATTAGCTCAATCATACAAAAGGAGATTGCTAAGCTCAGGAGCCTTTTCTCGTAATGTAGATTACTCAGGCAACAAAGATAATTATGCGTTTTATTTGCTAGAAAAATTGAGTAGAGGAAGTTGGATAGTTGACAATGGTGCTAGTAAGCACATCTGCTCAGACAAAATGCTGGTTTGCAGCTCTTCAAGATTAAAGTGCTTATTACTATGAATCTACCTGATGGAACAAAAATTGAACTGGCTGAGATAGGAGAAGTTAGACTTAAGAATCATATGCACTTAAGGAATATGTTGGTTCTAGAGTTCAAATACAACATGTAGTCTTTGGGGGAACTTGCTGTTGATGCGAGGTTGGACTTTGTGTTTACTAATAAAGAACGTCGACTGCAGGACCTTGACGGAGGAGACATAATTGCTACTGAAACAACACAGTTGGTAGTTGGTGGCCTGTATGTGCATGAAGGTGAAGAGTTTTGTACTAGACTCAAAGAATCTGAAGTTGTGGCACAAAACTTGGACATAGTTCAGTTTCTTGTTTAAAACATATACATTTCTGAAGTCAAGTTGTAATAAGGAACAAATTCACTTGTGTTATACTTGTCATAAGCCTAAACAGTGCAGATTACGTTTTGTTTCAAGTCACAGTAAGAGTAAGAGTACGTGCAAGTTTGATTTGACTCATGTGGATGTTTGGGGGTCATACCATGAGGATTATGTGATAACCACATCTTATATGTCGACCATAGTTAATGATTGTACAAGAGCTACTTGGACATTTCTAATGAAGTACAAGTCCGAGGTGTGTTTCATATAAAATTCTTCATTAACATGATCAAGGTGCAGTTTGGAATTGACATTAAAAATATAAAATCATAAGAGTTTGAATAGATCATGAAAGAAAATGGAATATTGCATCAAATGTCTTGTCCTTATACTCCACAACAGAATGGGGTTGTGGAAACGAAGCATGTATCTATTTTTGGAAATTGCAAGATCATTATCTTTTCAAAGTAATTTGGACATAACACTTTGGCCTTTTTCATTATTAGTTGAAGTTCACATAATCAACTCACTTCCCTCATAAGTTCTAAGATGGAAAACTCCTTATAAATTGTTGTATTGGATTGTTCCAAGCAATGAGAGGTTCAAGGTATTCAGTTGTCTTTGCTATGCTTCTAAGAACGAACTTCACAACAGAAAATTTGATGCTAGAGGTGTAGCTTGTGCATATCTGGGTTATGTCAATGGTGTCAAGGAATATAGGGGATGTTTGGATATAAGATTGTTTGATTTTTTAGTATAGTTAGTTTTGAAAAAAATGGTATGTTTAGTTGTTACTGGAATTTTTAGTTTATATTTATAATATCTAAAATAAAATAATTAAAGTTGATTTGATGTAAAAGTATGAGAGAGATGATGTGAAGTGATGATTAGTTAAAATTATATGAGTGAATAAATAGTGAATTAAAGTTGATATAATATGTAAAAATGATTGAATTATATTATTTAATTATACCGATAATAGAGGATAAGCAGAGTTGAGTTAAAGTTAAGTTAGGTTTGAGTTGAAAAATGTGATTGGTGAAAATTGATTGAATTCTTTTGAAAAAATTTTGTATCGAAGCAAGCTCATGGAGTTTACAACTAAGACACCATGAAGGTTTTTATAAGGTGTTCTATGAGGATGTATGGGTATACAAAATTGACTGAAATCCTTATGGGAGCATACATAAATTCAAAGCAAGGCTAGTGAAAAAGGGTTATACCTTCAAAGGGAGGGCATTGATTTCATGGATAGTATATCTCCCATAGCCAAACTTGTTTCAATCAGGATGATCATTGCTTTAGCTACAAAGCATACTTAGCAATAGCACAATATTGACATAAACAATGCTTTCCTAGATAGCTTCTTGGATGAAGAGGGTTACATGTTGCCTCCAAAAGGGTATACAAAAGCTAAGTTCGCTGAGGTTTGTCTTTTGAAAAGAGTTTGTATTGGTTAAGGCAACGAAACATAGAGTTTTCTAATAAACTCTTAGCTTATGGTCTTACCAATCTTGTCGTGATCATTGCCCCTTTACAAAATACGAAGGTGATAATTTTTTGACACTTTTGTTATAGGTGGATGATGTGCTCATTACATAAAATAGTCTACCAGACATCCAGAACTCAAACATTACTTGAATGAATTGTTTGCCATCAAGGATCTTGGTCATGCTAAATACTCTCTAGGCCAAATGTTGCATATGCAATATAATAGTTGTGCCAGATTGTCCAAACTCCCTCTTTAAGCACATGGTCAGCTCCTATACACTCTATTATACACTTGGCTAAATATGATTAGCCGTGAAGATAGAGAGGACGCCAAAACCTCCCTCTTATGAAGGAGCACAACACTTATCCCAAAAAGCCATAATTCTCACGAAGTCTTAACATCAAGTAACAAATTCAGTTATGGCAAGCCTTGTGAATAACATCAAGCAATGAGGTCGGCCATCTATGCTGATAGTGATAACTGAATTCACTAGGCAGAAGAGTGTCTTTACCAATGCTTTCATTTTTAGAGAATACGGTCACATAGAGCCTTACAATGGACACGTCTAGGGATTCAAGGGGCACTTTGGGTTTGTTTCATCATGCTAAGCCTACACTCCACTCCAATCCACTCGAAGTGACTGCCTAATGTGATCCCGATTGGGGAAGTTGTGCCCCTACTTGAATGGTATTGACAGGGTAGTGTATATTTTTTTCTTGGGACATGCATTGATTTCATGGAAAACGAAGAAACAGAAAACCGTCTCTCGCTCCGCAACCAGGGCTGAATAACGTTCTATGGCTACAACGGTTTGTGAATTACAATGTTTGGCCCATCTGGCTCATGAGTTACATGTCAACATTCATCATCCAATCCCTCTTTGGTGTGACAACAAAGCGGCCCTTCATATCACGGCCAATACTGTTTTTTCATGAGCGCACGAAGCACCTAGATATTGATTGTTACATTGTGCATAAGGTTTTGTTATGCCGCAACATATTTCCTCTTTTCGCAACCAGCTCACCTATTCACACTAAGGCACTCAGGGAAAAGGATTTTCATAATCTTTTCGGCAAGTTGTGATGTGCCTTCAGTGCACATTCCCACTTGAGGAGGGGGGCAGGGGGAGGGGGTGTTGGCATGGACGAGCTGTGAGATTGTGTGCATGGACAAACTAAGGATGTTGGCAAGGACGAGGTGCTGAATTTCCTTTTCCATACTTCAGTACTCTTCAGTGTTGTTTTATTTGGTAACTTTTTGTCCCACATGTCAGTTAGAGATTAGTTGGTTATTCTCCAACGGTCATGTAAGTCGTTAGGGGTGAAGGTGTATATATCTTCGTCTTCATTTGTACGCTCCAGAGATTTTTTGGATGAAATCAAAATTCTCATAAAAATCTCCCAAATCCTTTAAACAAAAATGGCAATGAACTCCTAGCTTTACAATGTTCATTCCCATTAACTCATAAATAATCTACATATTCAACATAGAAGCTATTGCAGGCAGTATGCAACTAGAAAAGTGTGAGCTTCCACCTCCAAAATGAGAGAACACAGACACTAGTACCTGTTTAGGCAGGCGGTCCAAATACAAGAAAGCCTCATACAACACCAAATCTGTCAAACCTAATATTTTCCCCAAGACAACCCAAACCAAAATCCACAAATTTCAGACAAGGACAAACCAAATAAAGAAATCAGCAAAAGAAAGAGAGAACCACTTTAATAAGCTAATTCTTATGAAAGAGAATTCTTACCTGCACTCTTCATGGGAAGTTGAACTTCTCTCCAGTTGAGGCTCACCCTTATTGGCGCAGTCCACGACCACCAAATCAATAGTTTTCTCAACCAAGTCCTGGGATTCATCTACGGATGCAGCCTTCGCTAAACCATCGCCGACGACTATGTTCACCCGCTGCTTTTCGACATCATCATCGGAAAATTCGCCTGGCATAGCAGCACATCCACCATTCCGCATTTATTTCAGTGAGGAACTAACCAACAATTATCCAGAAACGTGTTGAAGAGTGGTCGTGTTAACTTGACAAGATTTCGAAGTTGCAATTGGGAAGGTAAAAGGTTGGAGAAGATAGCGACAAAAGAAGAAAAAGAATCGAGAGTAGATGAGAATTTGTTGTAGAATTTAGTTGCATCACAAAGCTAGACGGATTTACAACAGTGGCTAGGGTTCTAAACGAATGCGAACACTCAGAGATTCGATTCGTTTAAAATATTCGAAGATTCGATTCGTGATTAGATTCGATAACGAATTCGTTTTCTGATTCGTATTCGATTCGTTTAGAATATTCGAACATATTCGATTCGATTCGAAATTCGTTTTCAAAAAAATATTATAATTAAAAAATATTATAATTACAAAAATAAATTTTATTTTTCATATATTTTTAGAAAATTTTGTTAATTTATGATGTTTTTATTTTTATAAAAATATTAGGAATATAACAATATATACATATATTATAAACAAAATTATTATATATAATTTGTATAAAAATATTATAATTAAAAAATATTATAATTACAAAAATAAATTTTATTTTTCATATATTTTTAGAAAAAATTGTTAGTTTATGATGTTTTTAATTTTTATGTCATAAAAATATTAGGAATATAACAATATATATATATACAGAGAATGGATCATATGAGAAAGGGAGATTATGAAAGAAATAAAAATGATAGTAGACCATTAGATCACCCAAGTTAATGGTCATGATCAAGTCAAACAATAATAATACAGTCAAACATGAGATGGCATTGTGGTAAATAAGTGAACATATTAAGGTCAAATATATATATTTGAACAATCATTAAGGATAAATATGACATTTAACACAATTAATTTAGCAGTGGGACCCACACCATTACAACTCACCAAGTCAACTCTTTCTCTCTCCACTCACCCGTATCTCTCTCTTTCTCTCACATTCACAGATTTAAAACACACACACACTGCTGCGGGCACACACATACACACACACACACTATCCACCGGCGACCTCCGCCTGCTTCCACCCGCCACCACCATCGCCATCGTCCGTCGCCCGTTTATCCACTCTCGTTGCCGCCCCTTTCTTCCGCTCCCACCGCCGCCGCTTTCCTCCACTATCGTCGTCGCCCAGGACATTAAAATCGACGACCCTCGTCGGACCACCAGAACAACCAACGTCCTCTGTTGAACCCCCGCCGGACTAACAGATGCCCAGTCGCCGTTCACCGCGACGAGCAGCAATGAGTTCTCAACTCGTCGCATCTGTCCGCCGACTACCTTGACGAAGCTCCCGTCCTTCAGATCCGTTTGTCAATGCCCCTGCATCGATAAGCCGATATCGCCATCGCCATCACCGTCCTCCCCGTCCCCTACCTTCAGATCCGTTTATTATTTTTTTTTCGATAAAGTCGCTGGGAGTCTACCGGCGTTATCCGGCGGCGTATAACCGGTCGCCGGCGATGTGTATGCGGCAGGTGGTTGCTAGTGGTGAACCATGTGAAGGTGAAGAGTGTTTATGGCTTGGGCTTATATTTGAGAATTAGATATACAAAAAGAGCTCAATTGCAATTTTAAAAAGTGTAAATAAATCTCAATTTAATACATGGGTCAATGCATAATTTATACAAATATATTAAATATACAATGATGCTAAATAAATTGGATAATATATGGTATAAATGCAAATATAATTGATATTTTAAGGGTATAAATAATTTACTCGAACCAAATTATTAAATATTTTGCCGAACAATTTAATTCGTCTTTGGTAGATATTGTGCAATCAGACAGTCATTAAGTTGCAGTGTATGTAACATTATGTGCAATTGCGTTGCATAATAATAATAGTAATAATAATAACGATGATGATAATAATAATAATAATAATAATAATAATAATAATAATAATAATAATAATAATAATAATAATATAACTGAAAATTTTTTATTAGTGTATATGTATAACTTGGGCTTTTATGTAAATGTGTATTGTTTGGGCCATATTCTGTATTTTAGCATTGGGCTTTTTCTCATTCTATTGTTATTTGTTGTGGCCTGTTTAGATATAATTAGGTCTAGTATAAATAGGTTTTGCTCTCCTCTTTGTAAACACTTTTCATTTTTCTGAAATAATATTTTCTCTCCTTTCTCTCTCTACGCTCGTCTTCCCCAATCTTTCATCTCTCTATTTCAATTGTTCAATTTCAGATCTTATCATGGTATCATGATAAGATTAATTGGGAGATTACTCTATTTGACTATTTCCAGACCTGATTTATGCTATAGTGTACAGTCTCTCAGTCAGTTCTTATCAAAACCTACAAAGGTTCATTTATCTGCAGCTCATAGAGTACTAAGGTACATCAAAGGTACAGTTGGTACAGGTATATTCTTTCCCAGACAATCTTCTTTACAGTTAATAGCATATTGTGATAGTGATTGGGCAAGCTGCTTAGATACCAGAAAAAGTATCACAGGTTATTCTATTTTTTTGGGTAATTCTATCATTTCATGGAAGTCTAAAAAGCAAAGTACCATTAGCCGATCTTCAGCAGAAGCTGAATACAGGGCATTAGCCACAACCTCATGTGAAATACAATGGCTGACTTACTTATTTGATGATTTTCATTTATCTCACTCTTCTCCAGTTTCTTTATTTTCAGATAGCCAATCAGCCATTGCCCTTGCTAACAATCCTGTTTTTCACGAGAGAACCAAACACATACAAATCGATTGTCACTTAATCCGAGAGAAGATTGCTGAAGGACTTATCCATCTACAGCACATCAACACCAAGGAACAAGTGGCTGATCTATTTACAAAGCCTCTACCCCAGCTCCTATTTTCCCATCTGCTTTCCAAGATTAACATGAATAACATCCATGTTAATCTTGCGGGGGGGGTATTAGTGTATATGTATAACTTGGGCTTTTATGTAAATGTGTATTGTTTGGGCCATATTCTGTATTTTAGCATTGGGCTTTTTCTCATTCTATTGTTATTTGTTGTGGCCTGTTTAGATGTAATTAGGTCTAGTATAAATAGGTTTTGCTCTCCTCTTTGTAAACACTTTTTATTTTTCTGAAATAATATTTTCTCTCCTTTCTCTCTCTACGCTCGTCTTCCCCAATCTTTCATCTCCCTATTTCAATCGTTCAATTTCAGATCTTATCATTTTTTAATTTAGACACAATCAGTTTAATTCATCATTTAATATAAATAACTGAAATAAACTGACATAAATTATATTATTTATTGTAAAAAAACGTAATAAGTATTTAATATTTATTAATTTTATATTTTATATTATTTTTTAATTAAAAATTAATAAGTATGTAAATTAAATATAATGTGCAATATAACAGTTATTAAAGTGAAATTCGTCCAACAACATGGTGCATGTTGTCATTATGTATTGTGCATATTGAACCAATTGAACTTTTTTTTTGTCCGAGAGCAAATTGAAAATGAAAATAATTTATTGGTTTATTCGGATCGGTTAACCGAATCATTTCTAAATAATTGAAATAATTTGGTATTCTTATAAAAAATATATTTAATATGTTGATAATGTTATTTATTATTTTGATATTTTATTTGGTTGAAAATTTTTGAATTCGATCAATTTTGATCTATATTGTGCAATATGATAGTCGTGATAAAGTGCAAAATGTTGTTCTATAAAGTGCAACATATTATATTATAACGTGCACCACGTTAACTTTAATAAAAAAAATGTATACATTGAACTATTGTAACTTTGGTAAAATACAATTATTTATTTTATAAAGTGCAACGTGATATTTTATAAAGTGCATCGTGCTGATATATAAAGTGCACTACATTATATGAACACATCCAACTAGATTTAGTATATATAATTGTGCATTGAAATAACCTAAATAACTGAAATAATTTACTATTTATTATTATAAAATTATATTTATTTTTTTATTTTTTTTATATATTAAAATTTTACAAATTAATAAATATTATAAAAATAGTGGTTATATACATTACACAAACACAATTGCCCATTAAATTAAATAAAAAAGACCGATTTTGGTAAAATTGCAAAGATTCCTCTCAATATTATCTAACTTAAACAAAAAAAAATAAATAAATAAAAATAGACCAACCCATATCGGCTCAATTTAAACGCCGTAATTCCCAAATCAATCGTTAGAATTACTGTAACTTTAGCACATGGAACGTGATGTGTTATAAAGTGCAGCGTATCGTTGTATAAAGTGCAATGTATTGACATATAAAGTGCAATATTGAAATTATGATATTTTAAAAGGATTGTGTGTGTGTGTGTGTGTTTTTTTTTTTTTTTGATATATTATATGATGGGTAGTACAGTAGTATGCCACTCAGTTTTTTATGTTGATATTCCGTAATTTTTTTGCGGGAGTGGTTAACGTTAATTGTGGAGTGCGATTATAAAGTGCAACATGTTGTTTTATAAAGTTCGACGTGTTGTTATATAAAGTGCAATATTCTGCCATATAAAATGCACTAATTTATACTTTTCTATGTGTATCTGAAAACTACTTTTAATCGATATAATTTTACATGTAATTAACCTAAATAATTAAAATATCTCTTCATTTATTATTTTTATAATATAATTTATTTATTATTATAAATTATTTTAATGTTTTAGAAAATTTTTTATTTAAGAAAACAATTATTTTTTCAACGAAAACAATGGTTTGCAGGACAGTTATTTACAAAATATACTAGGTACACAAATGGTTTATTTATTAACTTTACCACACAATTAGAAAAAATAATTAAAATATCGATGTAAGAAATCATGTTTTATTAACTTTCATTATTTATATATTTGACCCATGGGATTAATTGAAATATACTTAAATTATTAAATTGCAATTAGGTCCCTATAGTTAACCTAATTCTCAACAGAAAAGACCCAACTCCACAGTTCAATGTCTGTCAGGTCTTCATCACGTCCCTCGCCACCGGCACAACAGCGACTGAGACGCCGGACATGAAGGATCTCCGATTGGGTCGGACGTGATGGCGAATTTGGCCGGAGTTTCGTCCGAGCTTTTGAACGGACGTGCTCGTGGCGTACAGAGGCGGAGATGGCCGGTGGGACAGTGGAGGCAAAGATTTCCGGTGGTTGGATGGTTGCGACGGCGATCGATGTGCGACAGTACTCCGCGGTGGAGGAGACGTCGGAGATGGCATGTTCAATGACGGTGGTTCGGAGCTCAAAACCTCCGGCAGCACCTGGCGGACTTTTAGCGGCGGACGTCGAGAATCGGAGCGGCAGTGAAGGCGTGAAGTATGGTTGGGATTTTATGTGCGTGTTACTGTGTGTACAGGTTGAGTCCAGCTGAGGTGCGATGGTGGCGGACGGCGGGCGTCTGGCGGCGGGCGGTGGTGGAGAATTTCCGAGTACTGACGGGAGTGTTGTGGATTTGGTGTATGTGTATTGTTTGTGTGAATGTGTGTGAGAGAGTGTAGGGTGTGACGGATGGGTGGCTGATTGATGGGTGATTGGGAGGTAATTATGAACTGTGAATTAATATGTATTGGGACCCATTATTGGTGTTGAAAATTACCACAATACCCTTAATGAAGGTATAATTTGGACTTTTTTTTAGCCATTAGATCGAATGATCTAATGGCTCCGATTTATTCTTATTTCTTTCATTGAGAACCATTCTCATGTCAACCCAACCCTATATATACATATATTATAAACAAAAGGTATATTATATATTTGTAAAATTTATATAATTATTGTTAACGAATCAAATAATCGAATTTCGAATCGAATATCTACACATTCGGATTCGAATTCGTTATAATTTCGAATCCAAAACATCATTTGAATTCGAATTCGAATTCGAATATTTCGAATTCGAATCACGAATATCGAATTCTAATCACGAATCGAATAAAAAATGTTTGATTTGTTTACAACCCTAAGTCTGTGGGGGTCGACTTGGGAGTCTGATTTTATATTTATGAGGTATTCAATTAAGACTAATGGCTTTTTAAGACTTTGAAATTCAGGGTATTTTATGGGTGACTTATTTAATTAAAAAAAAAAAAAACTGTGGCAAAAAATAAAAGAAAAAAAAAATACAAGAATAAAAAAAACGGATTTTGGAAATCTGTTTTTCTTTTTCATTCCAAAACTCTTTTTTTCTTAAAAAAACGGATTTTCAAAATCCGTTTTGTTAATTTTTTATTTTTTTTAGATCGGATTGTGAAATTCGGGC